AGAGAGAGAGAGAGAGAGAGAGAGATAGAGAGAGTGAGAGAGATAGACATGGGGGAGGGGAGGTGAAATACTAAATAAATAAATACAGGAAGGTGGGGGCTCACTGCCTTACCACATCGTTTGTCAGAACGCTGCAGCTCATACGGCAAAAAGTGCTGAGATCTGGTTGTGTGTAGAAAAAACTGCACGTCGTTCATGTCCTCTTCGGCGTACGGAAGCTGCTTCCAATGTCCTTTCAGCATCGTGTCCAGCACGTTCGAACAATGTAGCTCTGGCCCACGATCTCGACCAAGTAGCCTCAAACTCTGGAACCCACTGGGTAGACGCTTTACCGTCGTGAAATAAATCAAGCAAGCAATGACTCCCACACAGAGAAAAATAATACCCTTTGCAAGGGTATTGGGTAGCGCTTTGTGGCGACAATAAAATACTTTTTCTAGCAATCTGTACATATTTTAGTGTTGGTTTGTCGATGAATATTATGCTGTCATGCCTTTCGTGTGCCTGCGTTGTGTTGCTGGGCTTGTTGTGAAGTGCAGAGTGTGTTTTACTTTCAATGTCAATCATAGCAGGCTTTCTTTTGGAGTTGCTTGATCCAGTAAACAGAAGAAACCTGTGGGGTAAGGTGGAAAAACATAATATAAAATAGTATGTAACACAGGGGTGTTAAAATAAAATCAAGCCTGCCTTAACCGACACCTGTCATAACGGAACCCCCCCCCCCCCCCCCCAAAAATGCATCTATAATTACCTCTACAAAATGGACACCTGCGTAACGTGGAAATAGAAAGAGATATTAAAAATATTTCTTCTCTCCTGAGGGTTTTTACCTTCTAAGACGGAAAATGTTTTGTCCAATCAGCCCTGATTTGAAATAAAAGATGGCTTTAACTTTAACGCAATACCGCAATGCGAGGAAGGGGAAAAGAGGTGCTACTTGGGGGTAGATGTTACCCACTCCATGAGAGTGTGATCCCTTAGCGGTGCAGATGGTCAGGGCGATGTGGGTATGAAATCTCAACAGTGCCTGTGAAAGTTCTCGAGGGGCGCTCCACAGCTCGGATACATTCATGGGTAGCCAGAGGCCAGAGGTGTGAAATTAGTTTGACCAATGCCTGCCGCCCAAGGATGAGCATTTAAAAAAATCTCTTACATGCCTTTATCAGAGAGGATAGCACTTGAGAGGTGTGAAGTTCTGGCTAGGGTTTGCCGACCGGACAAGCGACCCTTAATCCCACCAGCTGGGCCTCTGAAACTCCCCTCTATGTCCCCCTACATCCCCCCTGTCTAAGACTGAATTGTTGTCTGACTCCCTTGCTAATCCGTGTTAGACAGGTTCTACTAGATATATCTACAGTCAAAAATGTGTAAGACGGCCACCCATTGTCAAGGAGAAAAGTGGCCGTATAAGACAGATGGCCGTCTTAGGCAGGACTGATCAAGATGAAGAAAACAAACCATTCCCATCTGAGGTCCCAATCGAAAGTGGCCGCATTGTTGTTGTTTTTTGTTGTTGTTGTTGTTGGTTTGTATTTTGTTCGTAATTTTTATTTTGTTGCTGATTTTGCGCAAGGGTGACAATAAAACGAAATGTATCAAGCGAGGAAGACCGAGTGCCATGTTAAAACAAACACATGGGTCGCCACCACTCGGAGAACGAGCAACGCTTCTGTCACAAGTTCATGTTGACGTCCATTGTTACTTTGTTACAGACTAGGTAAACAGTGACCACTTCGCTCACTTACGATTTGTGTATGAGTTCTGGGCAGGGCTTATGGGTTATGAGGGATCACACGCTTACCTCACCAGCAGCTGAAAATTGGTACCTATTGGTCAACAGTGGGAGGGGCCTACGCAACATGATCGGTTGGAGGGACTACCTAACAACAACGACAGGTGATTGAATGATGACGGCTCGCCCACAACGCCAGGGGCCAATGCACAATTTATGACAAAACGTAATGGAGTCACTACTAAGGTGGTCGTCTACGACAGGTGTTATTGCTTAGTGTGATAGGGGTTGTGTGTTAAAATATGGTGGTAGCGACCACATTGGACAGGTGCCCGTTTTACACAGTTAAATTGGAAAAAACGCAAGGGGGAAAATGGAAAGTGGCCGTTTGTACAGGTGGCCGTCTTATAGAGGTGGCCATCAATGCAGGTTCGACTGCAGTTGGAGTATAGTAAAACATGTGTGTCTTTGTTGTTTCTTTTATCAAATTATAGCATCGTGGCTCACAGTGGCTCGCGGTGGAGCGACGACGTGTGTTTTAGATTAATTAAATTAGCAAATTTTAATGTTTTACGGCGCTCGCAGCTGGCGAATGTGTGTGAGAGTGTGCGTGCTTGTGTGTGTGTGTGTGTGTGTGTGTGTGTGTGTGTGTGTGTGTGTGTGTGTGTGTGTGTGTGTGTGTGTGTCTGTGTTAGATAGATAGATAGATAGATAGATAGATAGATAGATAGATAGATAGATAGATAGATAGATAGATAGATAGATAGATAGATAGATAGATAGATAGATAGATAGATAGATACCAACACAATAGACCTAAAAAGGTAGAGAGAAAAGGGGGAGAGAAGGAGAGAGAGAGAGAGAGAGAGAGAGAGAGAGAGAGAGAGAGAGAGAGAGAGAGAGAGAGAGAGAGAGAGAGAGAGAGACAGAGAGAGCAAAAGCAAGCCCCCATATTATTTTTGAAAAATGGATAACAGTGCAGGAATAATATACATTTCAGAAGAAAAAAATCAAATCTATTTTTACTTTAAAAGATTCACCTTAATCAATTCTTACGCTATGCATGAAGCGCTTCATCAAACAAAAACCGACTTACTTTTCATCCACAATTTAAGTATGTGACAGCCATAGCCCAAGCGAAATTTTCAGAAAGATCACGAGAACGGTTATCTTTATGAGTTCAAGCCAGCAAATCAAGTCGACAAGCATGACATGCGTACGTTGCTTCTTCCTGGTCTTGGAGCTCATTTTCTAAATAAGGCTTTCGAAAAAAGCATAGTCCCATATGAAATTGAAGAGAAACTGTTTTATATGAAACAAGAAGGTGTCAATGCAAATCACTTGTTATGATTGTCGAAATGTGAATAGGTTAATTAAGCGAACAACGGGTCGTGCTTGTAGGTTTTTCAATAGACACAATTAGATGACTAAGAAAAGCTATTATTGACTTGGAAAATCAAAGGAAAATGGAAAGGTATAATTTCCTTAATAGGTGAGAAATTTTAAGGTGTTTTACTTGAAGCAGCGTTAGTCTGCCTTGAAATTACTCTTGATAGAAATTGTGGTGGTTCTGCCGGAACGGTTCATGCAATGAAATTAAATACAATTCGTTTTTCTTTCAGAGACATTACTGGAATACAGATCTGTGTGGTGATGTCATTTATTTTCACCTGTCCAGATCTTCACAAAATGTCATAGTTTTACTATGTCGACGAGCCTCTCAGGATAAGGTAAGGACAAGAATAGCAAAGCAAGAGGTGCTTTCACACAACTAACAAACGTATTGAACTCACGAATTATAGTTTATGGACAAAAAACCGAGCCAAGGATTTTCAATACCAGTGCCAAAAATGTACTACTCTATGGATCAGAAACGTGGAAACTTACAAAAGAAACTTCTGAAAAAAAATCTACAGGCATTATTCAACAGCTGCTTTAAAAAAATACTAAAAATTCATTCGTCTGACACTATAAGAAGTGAACAACTATTGGAAGCAAACAAATCAACAGAAAATAAAACTCAGAAAGAAAATGAAAATGAATTGTACACACATCTTGCAAAACAAATGAGAACCAACATTACCCACCAAGCGTGAAGATGGAATACACAGGAAAAGGAAATGGAAGAAGGCCTAAAAGTACTTGAAGGAGGGACTTAAATTCGGACCTAAACAAGATGGGATACACCATGACCGAGGAAGAAACTATAGCCTAGGGCAGAAGTAGAAGGAAAGCTGGTATTTGTGGCTTATTCTGGCAAGAGAGGAGAAAGACGGGTGATGAAGGTGATGATGATGACGCCCTGATTGTAACCTACTAACGTTAGCAAAGTTGAATAAAAAAAATGAAAAAAAAGTCACTGGCATAAAATATCATTATCCACACATTCAGAAATATCCTTTTGCTTCTCGGATCAATTATGTCGTCGCAAGAAAATACATGTATTTACTAACTTACCCTTCACCCTTTATATCAGCACGCTTCTACTGAAGAAAAGAACGAAAAAAAAAAACCCACACACAAATAAATCCATACCGCATTGACCGAGGAGCAATGGTATAGTGGTGATGGCCCGCTTTATCAATCGCTTTCAACAGGCGACCGATGATTACTTCATTGAAGTCGCCCATGACAAGTCATAGTGATGAATCTGCATCCTCTTTGATCCGTCTTTTTGACTTGTGCACTGACAACTTTAGAAAAGGCAGGGTAGGGAAGGGAGGGAGGGTGGGTGGATCAAAAGGAGATGTATTTATTTATGACTTGGGAAGAAAGTGTGCGGAAAGGGGGAGGAGCAGAAACAGAGGGGAGGGGTGGGGAGGAGTGGAGAAGGGAGGGGGGGGAGGGCACATTCACGATGAAGGATGGTAAAAGATGTCACCAACAATTAATTGCGTGCTCATTTATATAACATGTTAACAGAGAAAGAAACTTAGTCCCAGTTTTTTTTTATCACGAGGGAGAACTAAATCAGCACGGTTTTATTATTATTAATATTATTTTTGTTAGTAGTAGTAGTAGTAGTAGTAGTAGTAGTAGTAGTAGTAGTAGTAGTAGTAGTAGTAGTAGTAGTAGTAGTAGTAGTAGTAGTAGTAGTAGTAGTAGTAGTAGTAGTAGTAGTAGTAGTAGTAGTAGTAGTAGTAGTAGTAGTAGTAGTAGTAGTAGTAGTAGTAGTAGTATTTTTTAAATTATCATTATCATTATTATTATTATTATTATTATTATTATTATAATTATAGCTATTATTTATTTTTTATTACTAAGTTATTTATTTCTTTCTTTAATTTTTTTCTGGGAGGGGGGGGGGGGGGGGCATGTTAGCTTGGGGGTATTCTTCAGCAAGTATAAACGAAAGGTACGCAATACACATACCGCAACACACATAATACCCGGATGATTTAATGTAGCAAACAAACATAGACAAACATCCGCAAACGCTCATACACACACACACACACACACACACACACACACACACACACACACACACACACACACACACACACACACACACACACACACACACACACACACACACACACACACACACACAAACACCTACCCCTTCACACACCCCTATACTTACCCCCACCCTCCCCCCCCCCAAGCCAGAAAGAGAGAGAGAGAGAGAGAGAGAGAGAGAGAGAGAGAGAGAGAGAGGGGGGGGGGAGAGAGAGAGAGAAAAATAGAGAGAGAGAAGGGGAAGGGAAATAGACATAAAAACAAAGAGCGAAAGAAGAGAAAGGGGGGGGGGGGGGGGGAAACGCGGGCAGTGGGGCTCACGCTCACAATAAAAGCATACACAACACTAATATATATGTGCTTGTGAGTTCATGTACGTACGCTCTCGTGAAAAAGGCCTATTAAAAAGATAATAAAATTATTATTGTTCACAAATACTTTTTTTTTAACTCTTGTCCCCATGCGCCAGTGATGTCTGGTGAGGTGTGGCGTACTTAAGCCCCCACCTGGACATCTTTGCCAAAAGTTTCTACCTTCTGTTTTAGTTTAGTTTAGTAAGAGCTTCACAGTGCTTGTAACACGCACGGTCATGTGAGCTCTGCTGTTGTCCGAAATCAAAACAAAACATAATCAACAGCAGTAACAAAATGCATATAAGCATAATTATGTGTGCAGAGTAGGAGTCTACTCTATCTGATGTAAGTACAGCAGTCATAATAATAAGTATCAACAACGTATGATGAAGTTGAGTATAATTACAGTCGCACTTGTGTAATACAGGGTGCCCACTGGATGGATGGACCGACCCGCCGACTCAAAAACAAACGCTTTTGTTTTCAGGCGACAGATTCGGGCGATTGGCGCGACCTGCCGTAATGGGTACCCCGTACTATAATCAGACGGAATCGCAAGAGAGCCAGAAAAAAATCGGTCTGAAATAGGGGAATTTAGCAGGAGATAGAGGGGAGTTTCAGAGACCCTGTCGATGGGACCAATCGTCGCTTGTCTGGTCGGCAATCAGTGGTCAAACTAGCCTCCTTGATAATGGCATACGTCAGTCCTTCTTATCCATTGCCATCAGCGCTTGCATTTCATAGGACCACTGTTTGACCTATTAAAATAGAAGCGTTTGAACATCTCCTTAGCTTCCACCCTTAGCTTCCACCCTTAGCCCCACCCATCGGTGCAATAAGCACAATCAACCAATGCCACTCCTCCGATGGATTTTACAACGATTCGAGGAACTCTTTTCTCGGCTGGCCGCACGATCAGAGCGTCAGGCATTGGTCAAACTAATTTCACACCTCTGGCCTTTGGCCATCCAAGAAAATTTCCGTTCTGGAGTGCCACTCGGGCACTTCAACAGATACAAGTGAGATTTCACACCCACACCACCATGACCATTTGCACCAATAAAGACTCACATGGGTGGGTAACATCTACATTTCTACCCTCAAACTGCACCCCAACTCTCCTTCATCGCCTGGTGGGGTGGCGTAAAAGTTAGAGCCGATGGAACCAAACTTGGAAGTTTTGTTTCTAATCAGGGCTGAGTAGGCAAAGCATTTTCCTTCTTAGACAGGTAAAAACCCTCCGAAGAGAAGGTATTTCTTTTTCCTTTATGGCGTGAGATAGGTTTCTGTTTTGCAGAAGTAAGAATTTATCAAGGGAGGAGCGGGGAGATTCCGTTATGACAGGCTTCCGTCTTGCATAGGTTTCTGTTAAGTCTCCAGCTAGGCCTTCTCAGCTGAGAAAGCCTAGGTCTCCAGCAGCATGATCCAACAGCTTACGGTCCCTGTTCGCTTAAGATCCCTCTGTTTTAAGAAAACAGAATTTTTACTACACAAAAGTCACCCTGAACTCTGATCATCCCGCTCTGGAGGTCTACATTGGGCTTCATATCATAATTTACGCCACAAAACCCGGGCCGGCACAAAATATCAACGTAAATATCAGACAAGAGTAAAAATTTACGATCATTGAACTGTCTGTCGCGTTACAGATCAGCCACTCTCGTGAATGTGATCACACGTCTGTTGTTAATCTCAATAAAACGTCACACCATCTCTGGTCACACCAAGGCGTGAACTCGCCAACGACGCGTTTCTTTTCCCCCAACCATCGCACTCGCTACAAAAGCCTACTACCTACCTAAACTTACATCACACGCTGGGTGAGTAAGGCCTACTAGTTTGCTCTAGGCGGGATCACATCGAACTGTGAACTCTTCCCTGACCATTGCAGCAGTTGTCTCTACTCCCGAATTTGCGAGACAAATTGAATAAATTTTAGTTGGTGTGGTCAAAACGCAATGGAGCGTAACAACACAAGCAGGGGAACTTTGTCAGAGATAGAAAGCCGAACATTTTGGACAGGTAAAGGGTAGGGGTAGGAGCAACTGGATAAGCCTAGATCTTGAGACTCACAAGAAGTGAAACATGCCTTATCTATGCCTCTATGATTGGTCATCATGGTTGACCGCTCTTTCCTTGTCATAAATCATAAACCCCCTCGGGGATCACGTCAGTTCATTTTAGGATAAAGGGAGACCATCACCGGTTGTGGACCAAAACATGGGTCACCGTGGATTTTCACCCTGATTCGTCGGCTAAGATCCCGCTCTGTTGATTATACATGTAGTGTCAGTTTTTGTAAGAGTTTTACTGCGCTCGCAATTAATAAGGTCAAGATATTATGCTCTCTTGCTTATTTGATTATCAAATTTTACCAAATTCCACACATGTAACAAGCATATTAAAGACTCTATAAATTCTCAACCAAATTTTAGCTTGTAAAAGTTTCATGCCACGGAGGCGGGGGCTATATTAGATCTTGTTGACAAGTCTTGTACAGTTAATATCTACATTATTTTCCATGGAAGTAGGATATTATTTTGCAG